ATTAATAAATGAGTATATATAGATTCTATAGGCTCTAAGGATAAGCATAAGAGATCATCAGTTTCATTTTGATCAGATTTCATTTTAAGTTTACTGATAAAGAGTATCAGTCTTTGTTACAAATTAAAATGAAATCTGATCAAAACAAAATTTTTCTGTTTTTTAAGAAAAATTTAAAATTTTTTGGTGGACATTTTTTGTAGTTCTTTTTAGCATTAGAAATAGGGTTTAAGGTTAGATTTATTAATAAATAAGTATATATAGATTTTATAAGCTCTAAAAGTAAGCATAAGAGGTCACTAGTTTCATTTTGATCAGATTTTATTTTAATCTGTGACAGTCTTTAATTAAGAATTTGCAAAGCAAATTTTTATAAGGGGCCAGAAATATTATAGAACAATTTTATTTTATTAGTTATTATTTTATCTTAATATTATTTTATTATTTCAATATTTGTATTTTATTAGTTATTAATTATTATTATATTTATCTTAGAAAAGAATTTAAAAAATATGTATAATGATTAGCCTTAATACTTAATGCTTAGCAATTAATGATTAGCGATTATGCTTAGTGATTAGCAATTACACTTAGTAATTAATAATTAACAATTACACTTAGTAATTAGCAATTATACTTAGCAATTAACGATTAGTAATTAATACTTAACACTTAATGATTAACAATTATAATTAATACTTAGAAGGTATCCATAAATAGCGTTATACAAGAGAGGAGAGAGAGTTTGACAAAAATAATATTTTCTTTACATTTTTTGCTAAGGTAGAGGAGGTTGAAGGAAAATAACTCATATAGTATCTCATGACTTAGTAATCCAAATTGGATACTATTGGATTTGTCTCACTGATAGAAATCCAATGGTACCAAAATTATTCAATTTGGATCACTGAATTAAAGATATTAGCAAAAAACTATTGGCTATATTATTTTATATGAAATTATTATATAATTAATAGTTTTTTGCTCATATCTTTTAATCTAGTAATCTAAATTGAATAATTTTGGTACCATTGGATTTCTTTCATTGAGACGAATCTAATGGTACTAAATTTATTTAATTTGGATTACTAGGTTATAAAATAATTAAGATTTTATAAAAATTTATATATAAATATATAGATTTTTAAATTTTTTTTTATATAGTCTAGGAGGGGTTAAGAGGTTCTATATAGAAGTATATAATATTATTTATGGATGTTCTCTTAGCACTAAGTAAATTATACTTAGCTGCAATGATTAACAATTAGCTTTAAAGATATAAAAAGGCTGACAATTTCCTCAAGTTAATATTAGATCTGTTACTGTCTACCTTAGACTTGTTGAGATCTGTTACTATCCAACTTAGACCCAGACTCACCTCTTTCCTAAATTCTCTCTTGTAATATCATAGGATTCTTTAGAAATAGAACCCTAAAGATATTTATCTTTAATAAACATATATTTTATCTATAAACTATTGTCTAACCGAACTGCTATAGACAAAAGGGTATAGTTTCTAAAAGAAGTAAAAATTATACTTACTTGTTAGACACTGCTATAAACTTGTAAAAGATTTCTGTAGCTGTGTCATTATTATAGTACTGCTGTTAAGAAGATTACAGTACTGTAATAGTTTTTTATGTAATATCGTCAAAGATCTGTGCTACCTCTCTACTCAAGACTTGTCAAATGTGATTTTATGCATTCTAGCCCTTGGATTTATATAATGATATCACTTGGGTTTTGTATAACTCTTGCATCACACTATAGTTTCATGGTCTTCCAGTACAAGCTGATATAACCAAAGCTACAGATCTGATAATTCATCAGATTATATACAGTCTGCTATAATATATTTTGTAAAATTTAATTTTTGTTGATAGTAGGATTCAAACTTTTGTTTTGCCACTTGAGAGTATGGTCTAAGTAAACTTTGTATAAGCACAAAATAGAAAATAATAGTAAAAATAAAAAACTACAAGTACTTAACTATAGTCAAAATATAAATTACTAAAATCTAAATAGTATATATATAGAATATAAATTATTCTGATATGTTTACTACAAAGAAAAGTAGTTCTAAAGGATCTTAGTAATAATTATTTATTAGAAAAATTATTTAATAATATAAAGTTAATCAAAGAGTTTAAATAGAAAATCTATATACAGATTATAGATATAATAATTAATGAATAACTATATTGATAATTATTTGTATATATCAATTTTGTGTAACCTTATATATATCAAATATTTTTACAATTTTAATTGAATATATCTCGAAAACTACTCAAGCAAATTTGATGAATTTGTTTTATTTAATTCTATAAAAATATGGAATTAAAATAAAAAAAAATCATCAAATTGGCTTGAGTAGTTGCTGAGATATCTTCATTTAAAGTTTAAATATCTATTAATTAAAAATAGTAAAAAAAATTTTTTAAGAACTTTGAGAGAAGATATTTTGGCTACCAATTAAGCAAATTTGATAAACTTTTTTTATTTTAATTCTATATTATTATAGAAGTAAAATAAAAAAAAAACATCAAATTTGATTGGGTGTTGTTGAAATATCTTCTCTTAAAGTTTGGCTAAGATTTAAATGTCTATTAAAAACATTAAAGAAATTTTTTCGCAAATTTTAAGAGAAGATATCTCGACAACTATCTAAGCAAATTCTATGATTGTTTTTAATTTTAGTTCTATAAAAATATAGAATTAAAATAAAAAAGTTCATCGAATTTGTTTAATTAGTTGCTGTGATATTTTCTCTCAAAGTTTTTAAAAATTTTCTTTACTGTTTTTAATTAATAAACATTTAAACTTTGAATGAAGATATCTTGGCAACTACTCAAGCAAATTTGATGATCTTTTTTTTTATTTTAATTCTATATTCTTATAGAATTAAATAAAACAAATTCATCAAATTTGCTTAGGTAGTTTTTGAGATATATTTAGTTAAAATTGTAAAAATATTTGATATATGTAAGGTTATACAATATATAACAGTACTTTTAGGTGTAACAGCTTAGTGAAGTTGGTAAGTTGTTGCACTTCCAAGTGACAAGACAAGAGTTCGAATCTCACTAGCAATGAAATTTAAATTTGCAGAAATATGTTATAGCAGACTATATGACATATTAATTGGGTTAGCACTTGTAATCTTGGTCTTATCAACTTATATTGGGAGGTTGTAGAATATAGTATAATATATGAGTTATATGAATTTCAGATGAAGTAACCAAATAAATCTAAGGAATCAGAAATATAAAAACTCGCTTAGGAAGTTCCAAGTAAAAAGATAACACAGATCTTTAACAGTGCTATATAAAGAATTATTATTTGAGGAACCAGACACCTATAGGTAAACTAAATAAAGACCGAGTGTTTAGCAAGCACTACACCAACTAGGCCACCAGATAACTGGACGAAAAGTATTTATTCAGAATCCAGAAGACACCCACTAGTTCTTTCTGAACTATTTGAATTGAAAGTTTGGGGCACTAATGGTTGGCATTGAAGTACTGTTGATAATTTGTAAAGTGGATGCTGAGGTTTGGGTGAACTTTGCAAAAGCAAGGAGTAGGTAATGATAGCAGAGATAAAAAACCACAAGTATTTAGCTGCAGCTTAGACATAAGTTACCAAAAATCTAGTTAATACATGTGTAAGACATGGACTGCTCTAGTAGGTTTATTATGAGAATAAAGAACTCTCTATATAGTAGTATGTGTTTGCTTTAAAGTTCTAAGAGGCTTTCACAACAATTCTTCTTCAGAGAGAATATCTAACAGCACTAATTTAATTAGGATAGTAATACTTTTATTAATATAATAAAGTTAGAAGTGCTCACATAGTAGTTATTCTGACATTCAAACTGTAAATTAATAAAATGTGCCAGACTTCTAAGTAGTTACCTTAACATTAAAAAATAAAAAATAAAATAACAGTACCTTTAAATAAGCAATGATTAAAGTTGTATATATAACTAATTATACTCTTATTGATATAACAAAGTTAAATGAGATTAATATAACCAAACTAACAGTTGAACTATATTAAATAAAATATATTAGACCTTCAAAAAGTTATCTAATATAAAAAAAATAAATAAATAAAAAAATAAAAAATTTATAAAAAAATTTATAAAAAAAAGCTGGTCAGCTAAGTTTGTTTAAACAGGTCTATATTATAAAAACTAAAACTTTTTTTGTAAGCCTAATACAAAATTTTTAAAAATATTTTGTATATTTTAAATTTGTTAATAATATTTTTTATATTAAAAAACTATAGTTTTTTTAAATAAAAATTTAAAGAATATTTTATAGAATAGATGGGCAAACTCCGCAAACACTGCAACTCCGCTATGAAAAAATTAATGATTACTAACCATTAGCGAAGCTTATTTCTTATATTGCCCATCTATTCTATAGAATATCCAAAATTAAAGTTAGAGTTAAAGTTAGAGCAAAGTAAAATTATAAAAAATATTTTGCTTATATTATACAATTAAGATTATCTAGTTAAATTTCAAAAATATTAGCAATTTTATAATAAGAAGTACAAAGTATATAAAGTACAAACTAGTTCTGTTTTTTAAATAATTTAAAATATTTACTACTATATTATGTATTAACCATAATATTTGTTTTTATACAATATTACTAAGGTTGCTTTATACATAATACTTAGATTATACAACAATATACAGTAAATGTATATATAGTTATACAAATATAGTAAAAATGTTTTTAATAAATTTACTAAAATATAACTAAAAAATAAATAAATAAGTAAATAAATAAACCTACATTAAATAAATATTTATAGAATATTTGATAATTTAAGTTTCTAAATAAAATTTTAAATTAGATATCTATCTAATTATATAAGTATATATATTATTTATATTAATTTGGATAGAAATAATATGTTTATAACAAATAATAATAAAACTAATAAAACTAAACATCAAAAATTCTATTAATATCAAATTTACTTTAGAAATTGTTGGTTTCATCATTATTGACGTTGCTTTTGATGTTGATTGTGACGACGCACAAATTTCTTTGATTTCTAACATTATTATAATCAATATTATTTTCCACAAGCAACTGTGAAAGTTCGTTGGCATTTAACACCTTTTCCAATAAAAAGTCTTTTTAATTATAATAAATAGTATTGTGATGGTTATAATGATTGCGATTATAATGCCACTTATAGTAGGTATGAAATAAGGAGAATTGACATCAAGTGGACTTATATATCCGTTGGTTTCAGTTGGAAAATCAATCGTATTTGTAGGAGAGATGAAGATGGATTGAAATCGTAACGTTGGCATATTGGAAATGAATGTAGTTATTTTGGGTTGAGAAGATGCAGTAGATGAAATTACATAAGTATTTGCAATAATTGATGTTAATATTGATGAGGTTATAGCAGAAACAGAATCAATTTGTGTGCCTGGCATTTGAGATGTTTGATATAAAATTGGAGATGTCAATGATGCCGAGTTTGTTATATCAACTTGTATTTGAGTAATGGAAGGAGTGTTTATAGAAGTTGGAGAGGATATTGGTATTGGAATGATCATTCCAACATCAGAGTTGTTTTCTGGAGAGTCAATAGGTACGTCAATGCTTTCGGGTATTTTAGCATTACAATTACACGTAATTTGTACGTCTGCGGATACTTCGGTATTAGCATCGTTTATTTGTATATCTTCAAATTCGTGTATCTCGAAGTCATCATTTTCAAAATTATTATTTGTATCCTGTGTGTCCGCTGGTATGGAGTTTACTAACGTTTGTAGAGATATATCAGTATCGTTGGCTTCCGCGCTTATGGATATATCAATATCTGTAGTACCCGAGCCTTCTGATAAATTTATACTCTTTGGAACTCTATTGGAACTCAGCAACCGTTTCTTTGATTTACGATTTCTTTTCATCGTCAAAAAACAACATATTCATATGCAACGCACGTAAAAAATATATGTAAAGAGAGACATATTGGACAATTGGAAGAATAAAGTAAAAGACAAGATGACACTCAATTTTATGAACGTTAAGAATTGTGGTGTCGATGGCAAGGTTGGCAATGGAGCAAATGGAGCTCAATGGTTATACGAATGGAGCTCAAAAAACTAGTATCCATTGGCTCCATTCAGAGCTCCATTGGTTCCATTCGCAGCTCCATTGGGCTCCATTGAACTCCATTGCCAACCCTGGTCAATGGATATGAAAATAATCGCTTTTGTTTGTTTTTGGACTCACATGCAGTATAAGGAAATATTATTATTGGTTCCTAAAATCAGATCACATTTTAGTACAATGACGAATAACTTAGTTTTAATAACATTTCCTGTTCTTTTTGTCAAATGAAAATTTGATGTTGGAATTTATGAATTATAGACTTGAACTTAAAAGAAGTTTATCATTACTTTTTCCTATTTGAATAATCTATTTGAATATTCAATACTAAACAATTTGCACAATATATATACAGTATATATATATATATGGATGATAAATATTCGATTATCGATATATTTTATTCGATCATACGCAATCGGATACTACGTACGTACGTATTCAAATAACAAGCATGACTCACCTAATATGTATAACAATATACATATTTTTTCGAAGATTATTTACTATATACAGTGAGAACCGAGAATTGCTATCCATTTTCGACGGTAACGTTAAATGAATGTTACGTACAACCAGTATATTAGATACAAAATTGTCAGCAATTTCTGAAATATCGGCGCGTCACAGTGAATGATCACTCATTATATAAAAGATGGTACAGTGGTTTGGGAAATTCCAATTCGTTTTCAGTTGTTTTGGACTTAAATGAATCCTATATACCATTTATAACATTTATTTCAAAACTAGTTTAGTCACTTTCAAATTATGAAAGACATTTGTCATAAATCTTTTTCGCGGCCACTGTATTATTTGTCTGTTGCTTAGCCTTACGATATGAAAATATTATTGGTTCACAGACTCCAAAAAATTCAGAGCGTTTGCATCGATGATAAATTAGAGTATATAATACATAACCAAAATTAGAAAAAACTATTCTTAACAGTTAACGTAATTGTGCATTCAGTGAGAAATTTTATACGTAGTCTTATATGCTTAGAACTGATCAAGAATGTGATTGAAAATGGAAACTCTGGTTTTACCCTATCATATAATTAATACGTATATATTTATTGAATTTTTGCTTTCAACTTTTAATTGGTTATTGATCTTAAAGTCATTAAAGTCATTATTATAGATCAATCTAAACAATTTTGCTAAATAAACCTTCTCAAGAAAGCTTTTTTTTAATGTGCATAGTTGTATTTTTTTGGATGGAATTTTTTAAAGGTAAAATATAGGCAAATTACCAGTAAGCTTTGTCTGGACCGTTTTGCCAGAAATTAAGTTTTACCATTAAGTTTTATGATAATTTACCATGGTACTAACAACCCTGAATTCTGAATGTAAAACGACTGTCATTAAATCCTGTACGTACGTATGTAAAAAATCCCACCATGAATATGTTGATCATAGTCAGAATTAGGGTTAGTAAATTACACTGTAATTTACGTTGTAAGGTATGTAAGTTATACATATAAACTCAAAATAACTCTATAAATTTGGCCTAAATAACTCAAAATAACTCAATTTATAAATTTGGCCTAAATTATACTATGATTTGATTTACGTAATTGGTCATTTGTCTAGCCGCCGTTGGTAGAGATTGTCATGTGATTTGGCCAACTTTAATACCTATATCGTAACTTACATATTGGCCCAGGATGTAAAGTAAGTTGTCAAGTAAGTTATAACAACCCTAGGTTAGGGCAGTGTTGGGAAATTGACAAAAAATTGCACCACATTTGGTTTTGGACATATGTCCAGAAAACAATTGGACATAGTAATCTTCCCAACACTGGGTTAGGGGGGTTAGATTTTATAACGTTAGTCATTTATGGTGGAAATAGCAAATTACCGTGGAAATAGTAATTCACATTTTTTGTTAATGCTGGCCAAAACACAAATTTATTACACTTCCCGACATCATTTCGCACCGGAAAAATTAGGCGAATAAATCATTACGTACGTACGTACGTACGTACGCACGCACGTCTTACAACATGGGTGGATGCAGGATGATAAGTTTATATGCAGGGTAATTAAATAAAGCAGCGTGGATCAAAGATTAGTGATCACTAAATTAAGGTATGTATATATGTTACGGGTCATGTTGGTTTTAAGGTCGCTCAAAGTTTATTAGTTGGTAACGTCAACATTTTGGGTTCAGACACAAGGGGGAAGGGGATTTAAACAAACACGTACGTACGTATATGCCCAAGAATATTTGGTTAAATTTCATTGGCCAATTTTAATCACATGATTAATGAAATCTTTGCTGTGTTGTGATTGGCTTGTTTAATTTCGGGGCAGCTAACCAAGAGGGGGGAGACGTTAACCAACTAATCAATTTGAACGGCCTTGAATCAGCATAAATTAATTAATTTAACTTAGTCAAGTTAATTTAATAGAGTCAAGAAGTTAAACTGCTAGTCGAAATAAGTTATTATGTATTTAAAAATACTGTATAGCTATGCAATATAAAAAAAGATACTATCTAAGTATAACACGGTTTCACAAAAAATGACGTTATATCTGATCTGAATATATTTTCTTGGCCTTGTTAATTCAAATTGTGTTATGTTGGCAATGGAGCTAATGGAACTCAATGGTTGCGCGAATGGAGCTTAAAAACTAGTATCCATTGGCTCCATTCAGAGCTTCATCATTCAAAACTCCATTGGCTCCATTCGCAACTCCATCATTCAAAACTCCATTGGCTCCATTCAAAACTCCATTGGCTCCATTCAAAATTCCATTGGCTCCATTGAACACCATTGAACATCATTGAACATCATTGAAAATCATTGTCAACTCTGACTTTCGGAAGCCATTGTAAAATATGAAGTTAAATACTTAATATATACAAATTACCTTGCTGCCACCAATGACACCTCTGCTACATTTTAAGATATTTTTACCACAATCACGATGTTTACAATAACAAACTATTTGACTTACTACCGGCAATATGTAAAGAAAGTTAGTCGGATGGCATTTTTAGGATAGATCATAGTGACACGAACTTTTGCCATTAAGTGACGTGAAGAATAACAAACGAAACATAATAAATACTAAAAAAACAGCTATTATAAGTTGTAAAGAAAGCACTATCACTAGTTGTTGAAGCGTTCGAGTATTTTCGGATAGTGAACGATCGGTTTGTCATTGTTTGATCGGTTGTATAATGGGTAAGGGTGAATTCGGAAGCAATTTTTGAGAAAAACGGCCTTTTTAACATACTTTCAGCTAATAATTAAACATGTATATACAGTATTGCAATATTCTATACACATAATTATGGATTCATAGTAAGTTTAAAAGACAGTTTTTGTAAAAATTATTCTGTGATAAATTTTAACGACAAATAATTCTGCACGCTCACGACTGATTACTGTATTATTTTTGATATTGATTAAATAGATTCAGAAAGTATATTGTTAAATGTTTTTCTTGATATAAAATTATATTCACAAAGTGAATTAGTACTGTAGCATTCATTTTTTTATAAAAAATAAAGTTTCAAAAATTATTCTTTACATAGTATATAGTAGTATAATTGCATAATAATAATATTATTATTAATGTTATAAATAATAATATTATATACTTAATTTGACTTGGTTAAATTAAACCAAATCAAATTAATTTATGCTGATTCGAGTTTGATTAAATTAACTGGGTCAAGTTTAACCTAACCTAAAAACCAACAAACATAACCCGTAACATATATATATATATTATTAGTTAGCGATTGTAAATAAATTGAAATGTCTCATAAACTAGTAAAACTAGTAAAACTAATAAATACAAAAAATATAATTATACTTAATTCCTTTTGATCTTTAATAGAATAAATGTCTTTTTTATTTTTCTAAAATGATTTAATTATAATTTTTAATTATAATTGGTTTTTTTTTTTTTATCTTGATATGTATAAAAAATAAAATGCTTTGGCCTTTTAAAGAGAGCATTAAAGAGATTTAATAAATATAATTTTATTTTTGTGTTTTGCCGCATCTGAAGTTGTCCCTATCTGAAGTTGTAATTTTAGATATCTGAATTAGCACCTGACTAGCATGAAGATCTAATTTCAGTGGCTTAATTCTAGTCAGGCGCTACTTTAAATATCTAAGTTGCAACTTCAGATAAATCGTAACTTCAGATAAATCGTAACTTCAGATTCGACATTTCTTATCATCAATGCTATTTGCTAGTTTAATTATAGATTTAATCCCCGATCACTATATCAAGGTCACGGGAGGATTAATTAATAATACCCTGACCGTATGTGAATATTACTAGGAAACGGGAACCGTTGGAGTCCGGATCCTAGATATTTAAATAATTTTCCTATTAGATTTTATATCTTGGTTTGGATTTTTAAATACTCTTTTTTGTAGCACTTATCATAATTTTAGTTTCATGTCAATTTTGACTCAATGAGGCCTGTAAAATATATATATTGCTTGATAAATAAAAAGGTATATATATCATATGATCTTTTTATGATTAGATGAAATATATTAAATAATTGCGTAATACAATAATAAAAAATTGAAGAGGATTATTTTTTTTATTTCAAAGTATGCTATATATATTACAGGGGTACACAGTCTAAATGGTAAAACTTTCGCACCGATTTGGACATCAATACAGGGGGAAACCGTGACAGGTCTGTAAAGTTCTCCACTCCGCTCCGGACAATTATTACTAGGAAACGGGAACCGTTGAAGTCCAGAGCATAGATTTTTAAACTATTTTCTATTATTAATTTTACTTTGAATTTCAAAATACT